GTTCTGGAGAAAGTGGAGTCTGGGGTTTAGGAGGCCATTAAACCATCCAGACATCTCTAATGATGAGTTTATGAAAATGCTTTCTACCACCTGGAAGGATAACACAGAGCCCATCGAGACTTGTAAAGACAAAATCAAATAAGGTTCAGCTGAAAGGAAGCAGGAGTAGATGTTTTCAGGTTCCCACCTTCACCCTGCCAGAGTAATCCTCTAAGCAGGCCAAATAGAGTGTGAAGATTTGTGCGAACAGAACCTACCAGGAGTGTCATGTTATGCTGTGCCCTGTGCAAGGGTGACTACCCTGCAGAGCAAGTGGGAGATCAGATCCCACCTAGCCTCTATCTGTCATGCCCTCAATACTGCTGTGGGGCTGCTTCAGTCCAGAGAAAGGTGTGCAATCTCTTTGCTAAGTTGTCTGGCCAGAGGAGGTGCCTTTTTCTAATTCCTGACCCAGAAGAAGCACCTTTTTCTCATGGGAACAAAGTCACTACGGGGGCTAGCAGTCTCACTGTAGGCAAATGATCCAGTCTATCTCTTAACTTGACCTCTCAGAAGAGTAGAAAGTGGAACGGGACACCGAGCACAGCTTGTCCCATCTGGAAGGCTTTGCAGGTCTGGAATTTCTCACCTGAAACCTGGAACTCACACTGCTGAGAATCTGCAGATAGAGTCCCTAGGTGCTTCCTCTCAGGGTCCTGGATCTGAGGAGTATTAGGAGGAGAGAAGGAGCAGAGGGCATTCCTTCCCTCTGCCATGGGCCTAGACCTCACACCTGATTCTAAGACATGGCGTTCAATAGCACAGTGGGGGTGGGGCTGACTCTAGTGAACAGCAATCTATTGTATATTTCAAAATCGCTAGAAGAGAATCATTCAATGCTCCCAGCATAAAGAAAAGATACATGTTTAAGGTGATGGATATCCCAATCACCCTGATTTGATCATTCCGCATTATATGAATGTACCAAAATATCATATGGACTCCAAAAATATGTGCATCTATTATGTATCAATAAAAATGCAAATTAAAACCTGATTCTAGAGGTTCCCTGAAGCTCACACACCCAACTCTGAGCTGGTCTCAAGACCCCAACCTTCAGCCGGGGTCCACTGAGTTTCCTAAAACTGTTCTGAGTATAATGGAGGCCAGTTCCTTCTTTAAAAACTATCAAATTCCCAAAGCTAGCAGTTACCCAGCTAGACCCCACAAGGGCCTGATCACCCAGTCATCTCTACCAATGAATCAAGTTAGGACAGGCCACAGAGATTTCCAAGGGACCAGGAAGTAGCTTTGTTTATTAGAGTATATTTACTACATGACTAGTACAACACTGCATTCTAGTCATGGCCCTATCTTCAGCAAGCTTCTATCAGACCAAGAGGTGGGCAATGGAATAAGCAGATACCCCTACCAAGTAACTCTGCTGTGACACACAGCAGGTGCTCATTTTTGAGTGAGTGAATGAATGAAAGAGTGAATGAACGATTGTATATTGTACTATTTTTGTCTGGAGAATCAGAGAAGGTTTTCTAGAGGAGGTGACAGGAAACCTGGAGGATGAATACATTTAGCCATGTGAAATGGGGGAAAGAAGAGTGTTCTGGACAGAGGAAAGGGAATGTGCAAATGGCCTAAATGGCCTGAGGGTAGAAGAAGCAGCGGGTAGCAGAATCAAAAACTTGAATCGGTCAGCTTAGGTTGTAGGGGCCATGGTGGGATACTGTGGAAGAGATGCTATTTGTGGAGTATGCAAGGCTGGGTTGTACAAGATATGTAATTCATGTCAAAGAGTTTACATTCATCCAAAGAAATGGAATTTGTAAATACACAAGAGAGGTTGGTATGTTCAGGTACCAAGGTGAACCCAATGAGAACATTTCAGTAGTGTGTTTATCTCTGTTTTCTGGTGATGATAGAAAAGCACGATGCCTTGTAGATTTCTGAGTTCTAATCACACAATTTACATGTGGATAAGTCACAGCCAGGTGGAGATACTCTGAAAGTGTCCCTGTGAACTCAGGCTATGGGGTTGAGAAGGCGAACCAAGACAAATTCCCCTGCTGTATCCACTATCCCCGAGGGCCCTCGCACCTGAGAACTCCTTGCCCATGGGGACCCATGATGCATCAGGGAAAAATGCTTGAAAATTAGTAGTCAAGACTGAGAGCAAGTACCTGGGAGAGAAAGCCTGACCTGAGTACCCTGGTAGTAAGCCACAAGATAATGGAAGTCATTGTTCTCACAGGCCCCTGTCCTTGAGTTGTCTTCCAGCCCAGTTCCCTCCATGATGGCCTTGCCTGATTCGCTTGTCATACACTGGCCACCAGTCATTCACCATCTCTGGGGCAGAGATTCCATGAGCCCATCTCTGGACCAAGCCCTGGCCTCAGAGCTCAGGCCTCACAACCCAGTTTCCTGGAGTGGTACCGTCTCATTCCGGACAGAGGTGGTGGAAATACACATTGTTAGCATTGAACTCCAAGGGTGAGAAAGCACAAAACCTGGCATCCAAAGCCCAAAACAAGAAGTCAAATAGGAAGACGGAGTGGGAACAGGGCCTTTACATTATTTTAAAAGACGTCTAGCTCCAGAAAACTCCACCTGAGAACCTTATTTTGAGATTCTTTCTCCCAAAGCAAAGCCAGCCAGATTGCCAGACAGGGAAAGCAGCAGCTGCATTACACAGAACTTGGCAAAGTTAGACCATCACCCTGCCCGTGTGCAAAACCTTCTGGGAGAATCCACAAAGGAAGTCCCACCCCTCCCCACCCCCAGTCCCAGGAGCTGACAGCCTGAACTGCTGGAGTTATCTCTGCTGTTCTCACAGTTCCAATGTCTCTGTGTCTCACCCTCATGACCAGTTGCTGAGAAGGCAGAGATGGTTTGTTAAGAAATCCCAGAAGTCTCCCTCCTTCAGGCCCCAGGTGCACAGGACAAGGGGCGGGGGGAGTGTAGGCTCTTGATGATGAAACCTGCCCTAATATCTGTGGTGGCAAGAATATAGAAGAAGATCCACGTACTAGATGTCTAACTGTTTACATATAAGTCAGCAAGCTTGAAAAACTATATTCTTCCATCTTGGCAAGCATACCTTTAAAATGAGCTGAAAATCAGTTTTGAGTTTAGAATCTTGGACCCTCCGGAGTACCAGACCATGACATGGCAATGTGGGAAGAATCTGGTCCCGAGATTCCCCACCCCCTTCTCTTCCTGCCTCTGGCACCATCCAGCATCATGATGGACTTCCTACACATGCATATGGACGCCTCAGCCTGAACATCCAAAGTTCTGTCCAAATAGCCCTTGAACCTAGGGGTGGACACACTTGAAGCATGGCCTACCTGAGGGAGAATAGATCCATGGGGAAGGCCTGCAGAGACTCTAAAAGGGGGCATAGGGACCATTTAAACAGAGAAGAATGGGATCTCAGGTACCCAGAGAATAGTCAGGAGGGAAGTCGTTTCCAAGTGGTACCCACTTGGCCCTACAGATTTCTTGCCCTCTAGGGATGGTTATCGCTGGAGGAGTCCTAGGGCAGGGATCTCTCTTGCCCACAGCTAAGCATGACACTGCTGGGGGTGGGGGTCAGCACCAAACATGCTGTGCTATCTCAGCCAAGACTCTGTTCCGAAGGTTTAAGGGAAACCACCCATCGAACTTCTAAACACATGACTGCCTTCCAAGTGCTGGCTTGCCATCATCTCCTTTCCTCCTTCATCTGTCCTAGATCAGCCCCAAACAGGGTTGTGGGGACCCCTTTTTATTCCCAATCACCCCAAAATCTCCAAGCCCCTTCCAAAACCCTTGGTTGCAAGCATATCCTCCCTTCCTAGTGTCCCCTGGACATTTACACATAGGTAGATATGACAGTCTAGCACCATTTGCATATTCAGCAAGGGCATTGAGGGATTGACTAGGTTGACTAGGTTAGGTCCCCTTAGGGAGAAAGCCAAACAGAATGGATGTCCCCATCTGTCAAGGGCAGGAAAAATTCCAAACTCAAAGTTCAGGGCCAAGTTTGAGGATGTGCAGAAAGGTGTGTGTTTTTTCTTGTCAATTGCGACTCTAATGATGGACTCACGTTGCCCGCTCTTCCCTTTCTCTTACACCTTACCTACCTACTAAAGGAGGAGTTCTTGCTTGGTAAGTGGATAAAATCCGCAAAGACATGAGGGAATTTATTAGAAGCCACTCAAGAGCCTTAGATACCTTCTACAAGGGGAAAAGGACACACACAGATATCTATAGAGACCTTTTTTTTTTCCGTTTGTTTTCGGTCAGACTATTTGACTTCCTTTTTTTTTTTATTTTTGTCCCCTCCTTTCTCCCCCCCCCCCGTTGAAAACTGCCAAAAATGTCAGTTTGCGACCTTGACTTTATATTTAAAGAACAAAGCAAAACTCTCCGCTTTATTTCATTTCTTTTCCCCATGTGATATTTGTTTCGGGTTCTATTCAGGCAATTTTTTCTTTTTTTAAAAAAACGTTAAATTAATTAAGAATTTCGTTGAAGTTTAAAATTTTGACTTTGTCTCTCTCTCTCTCTTTTTTTTTTTTTTTTTTAATTTCCAAGATATTTTGTTTAGGCCCATAGTCCCATTTCTTTTTATTCTTCCCCTTCCTTTATTTTTATTATTGTTTTAGGTTGAATTAAGGGTGTTTACATCCCCTTTCTATTGAGTTGACCCTTTTGTTTAATTCATTAGAAATTAAATTTTGTATAATTTCCTTTTTCCTTTTGTTTCATCTGAATCGCATGCTTTTTCTCTGCATGATACCTAAATCTTCCAGTTATCCTAGCAGGGGGTAAAAAAAAAATCTCCTTTCTGTGGTATTCTTTCAGGAATTTGTGCTTTTGTTTTTTGGCGTCTCTTCTTTCTTCTCCTCTCTCTCTCTTTCCTTTCGTTACAGTGCATCATGACGGTAAACATTTCTTGGTTATTTAGACACAGCCCACGGGCCCAGCACTCAGCAGTGTCCAACGGGTCTTTTTGCTTTCAGATCACTGGGTCGGGGTCTGCCGCTGACCTCTTTACCAAAACAGCCAGCCCACTCACCACCTCTCGAGGACATTCCCAGGAGTACGACTCAGGCAATGACACGTCCTCACCACCCTCCACGCAAGCCAGCTCAGCCCGGTCTCGGGGCCAGGAGAAGGGGAGCCCTGGTGGGGGCTTAAGCAAGAATCGGGAGCTCAACAGTGGCAACACTTCTGATTCAGGGAACTCCTTCACCACCTCCTCGCCCCAGAACAAGGGGGCCATTTTGGAAAATCTCTCCCCCACCAGCAGGGGCAGAGAGTCAAGGTCAGTGCACCTGGCACAGGGGCTGGGAGGAATCTCACCTCAGCTCCACTTTCTCATTCTCTCATCCCAGCCCCCCCCACTCTTGGGAATCATTTATTTTCAAAAGAGAGAAAACTCAACTCAAACCTGCTTAATTGTTTTAAAAATCTAGAGGTACTAGCTTTAGGTACATTTTGGATCTAGGGGCTCAAAAATATGTCATTGAGAATCTGTCTTTCTCATACCTCTCTTAGTCTGTTTCCCTACTCTGTTGGCTTTAGTCTCAAACGGACCCACCCAAGACATTGTCAGATATGCCATGCAGCTAACATCCTGTCAGTTTAGCCAACCAACAGAAGAATAATGCTTCTTTCTCCAAAATTTCAGCAAAATACCAGGGAAAGTGATCACTGCTTTGTTTGGCCTAGTTTAGGTCATCTGCCCACCCTGGACCAATCACTGCAGCCCAAGGGAGGCTGTGCTCTTGGTCACAATATGTCAGATGCTACCATTGGCTAATGAGGAGAACCTTCCCACATTCCTCTATTGGTTTCAGGAGAGATGGAGGTTGAGTAGGCAAAAACAGATGTTAATTTTACCAATAATCCTAGGAGAGTGTCTAACATCTAATTCATTGTAAGTGATGATCATTTAAAAACATACCACAGTATTTACGGCAGATGAACTGAAAACCAATATTCACACAAAAACCCCCACATGGATGTCCACAGCAGCTTTATTTGTCATTGCCAAAACTTAGAAGCAACCAGGAAATCCTTTAGCAGGTGAGTGGATAAATAAATCGTGGTCACCTCCAGACAATGGAATATTACTCAGTGCTAAAAAGAAACACGCTATTTAAGCCATGAAATGACATGGAGGAAGCTTAAATGCATATCACTAGGTGAAATAAGTCCATCTGAAAAGGCAACATACTGTATGATTCCAAGTATATGACATTCTGGAAAGGACAAAACTATGGAGACAGTAAAAAGATCGGCGGTTGCCAGGGATCGGGGTGAGGAGGGAATAACTAGGTGGAGCACAGAAGATTCGTAGGGTACTGAAACACTTTTGTATGACACTGTAATAGTGGATACCTGTCATCAGACATTTTCCCAGACCTGTAGAATGTACAACACCACACAGGAACCCTGTTAACCAGGGACTTTGGGTAAAAATGATATGCGAGTATAGAGTCATTATTTTTAACAAATATCCTGCTCTGGCAGGGGGTGCTGATAGTGGAGGAGGCGTGCAAGAGTGGGGGCACCAGGATATGAAACCCCCCATACATTCCACGCAGTTATGCTGTGGAACTTAAACGGCTCTAAAAATAAAATGCATTAGTTCTATTGTATATATCATATAATTACATGCAATGTGGTATACACATTATATATGTACTACCACACCACATGTTATATATACTGTCATATAATTTACCAACCCATTATAGAATATTGAGACATCTTAACTTTTTGGCCCTTAGCATGCTTGCTGGGTGCAGTTTTCCTGCAGAAAACGCTTCCAAATAGTTGCTTACAAGCCGATTGTATTTCTCCTATGTCGTCACTCCCCTTTGCTCTCCCTAAAGAAATCTCAACAAAATGCCAATCACTGAGGGTACTGTCACAATAACAGCTACTAAAATTTACTGATCATTTATGCTGCGCCATTCATTCGAGTTTTTAATCCCCCTGCTTATTACCATGTGCCAGACACGCTGCTCAGTGCTGGGGATATTTTTTAAAAAATTGGAATGGGTCTGAGTGTGGTGGCTCACACCTGGAGTCCCAGAACTTTGGGAGGCAGAGGAAAGAGGATTGCTTGAGCCCAGGAATTTGAGACCAGCCTGGGCAACATAGTGAGACTTCATTTCTACGGAAAAAAAAATTTAAAAATTAGCTGGACATGGTGGCATGCACCTGTAGTCCCTGCTACTTGGGAAGCTGAGGCAGCAGGATAATCTGAGTCCAAAAGGTTGAGGCTGCAGTGAGCCTCCAGTCTGGGAGACAGAGTAAGACTCTGACTCTAAATAAATAAATAAGGAATGGTCCTTTCCTTCAGGAGTGGGGCAAATGGGGTTTCCTTCTTCTGGGAATGGAAGTCTGCTTTTTGTTCCAAGGGGCCAATATTTTCGAAAGATAGCCAAAGCCTTAGTGCAGCAGCAGTTAGCAGTTTCTTCAAAAACAGAGTACACTTTGTTCCTAACACATAGCCCACTTCAGTCCTGGACAAGCAGCTTGGCATCCACATACAGACCTGGCCTCTGGCTTGCCTGCCCTGGGACATCCCAGGCCCCAGCTCACACCCAAGCTTGGCTGGGAGTCCGAGCTGGGCCACAGCAAATGTCAATGTCTCCAGGAACAGGCAGTGAAGTTCCCAGACAGGAGAGGGAGGACACATGTCTACTGATATACTGAAGTGCTATTGTGCAGGAAAAAAAATCGAGAATAGCAATAACACTAAAACAATAATAATAATGACAGCTAATGCTCATTAAACCCTAAGCACATACTAGGTACTATGCCAAATGCTTTCCATAAATAATCTTCTTTGGCTCCCCATAAAACTTTTATGGGATAGGTACTATGCTAACCCTTCTAAAACTGATGGGGAAACTGAGGCTCAGAGTGGTTGAAAAAAATTCACTTAAAGTGGCAGCAATGGTATTCAAGTACACATATGTCTCCAGAACTGGAATTAAAGCCTTAGAGACAGTTGGCAGTTACTAGCTTAACTTGAACTACATGAACAACCAAATTAAATAATTTAGACCCAGGCTTCCACTTTGAAATATAAATGATGGTTAAATCCACAGCTATTTACGTTATGCCAGTTATGAGCAGAGAGGTCTCAACAAATATGGGCTGAGTGGAAGAGACATCAGCTCTAAGTCAAAAGCACCAGGGACAATGAAGGCAGAGAGCTGGCATGGTGGCAGGGTTTGGGACTCTGGGTGGCCTTGAGCAAATACCTAACCTCAATCTTCTCTATAAATTGGGATAATAATAGTGCCAGCTTTATATAGTTATTGGAAAGACTAAGTGAAGCAAGCAATGCTTATGAAGCACTCAGGATGAAAGTTTGCAATGTTCATCCCACCGCTATTTATTGATGACCTAGGATATAAGTAGCTGTGCTCAGTTCTGGGGTACAATGTCCAAAGTTGTATGAGTCCTGCCCCCAAGGAGCTCAGTGTCTGGGGCAGAAAGAGACAACCTATAATTATAAGTCTAAGGGAGTCATATAGGAATAGGGACACATAATAATTAAGGTCCATGGTACACACTGGAGATCACCCAACCCAGACTTGGTTGGGGGGTGGTGTCAAGGAAGGTTTTCCAGAAAAGGTGAGGGCAAACTAAGGCCAGAACCATGGAGTAGGAATTGTTGGATGAAGCAGAGAAAGGAGAAGGTTACAGACAACGAGAATGTTCTGAGGCCTGGAGATAAGAGAGAGAATAGGGATAGTCTAGGAAGAATAAGTCATCTATGGCAGCTGGAGTCTAGAGAGGAATGTGAGGGCTGAGATTGGAAGGGTGAGAAGGGGTTGGGTCATTATGAACTTTGAAAATCATATTAATATGATTTGAGCTTGACTCTTGGCCCAGTCCAAATGAACATGTCTTCACTGACAACCTAACAGGAGCCCGGCATGTCCCTAAGCAGGGTGGGGATACAGAAGACAGGACCCTGTCCTTTGGGTGATTCTGAATATGCCTCCATTCTTTTTTGGGTCTCAATTTCTCCATCTGAAAAATGGGTTATTCCAAAGTTTCCCAGACCCCTTAAACCAACTACAGGTCATCTTCTTGATTTTTACCATATCCATGTACTACTAGGGTATTCTTACTTACTTTAATAAACTCACTTTTTCATGTATAAGGAACCTTATAGTACTATCTGAAGTATAAAATTAGTATCACATATCCTAGATAAAGGGTCCTTGCAAGAATATGTATAATTAAAACAATATATTTAATTCTAGATACTCACAGTTGTCAGCCCAAGGCTATGAGTCTAAGGTCTGCAACTCTCTCTCGGGGAGATTATAAAGTGTCAGAGAGGTGTTAAAAGCCCACTAGCATCCAACAAGGACTTTCTCATTAATGTAATTGGAAGGACAGAGCAAGACTAGAAAGGGAACAAATCTCTCACCATGTGATTTGACATTATTTGGCATCATGCCCATGCCCAATGACCTCCTAAAATACTCTGGGGTGGCCCCGTGTGGTAAGTTGGGGAAACGCTGAACTGGGTTGTCTACTTTTTTTTTCCTTTTTATTATTTCTTTTTCTTTTTTAACTTTTATTATGAAGATGTGGGGTACATTTCAGGGTTAAGTATACAAACATTGATTATGCAGGTTCCCTTGTTGATGAGGTATGCCCCCTACTCCCCTAGCAGATTCCCTCAACTGCCAATTCTACGCCCCCTCCCCTGAGTTTCCCACTATTGCCAATCGCTTTGTTATAGCATTATAACTGTTCAAGATCCGTTTATGAGTGAGAACATATGGAATTCTGTTCTTTGTTTCTGTGATAGATCACTGAGTATGATCGACTCCAACTCTGCTACCTCTACTCCTCTAGCATATGTGGCCTGGGAAGTGTTCCCAGAGATAGTAGGACGGGAAAAGGTGGAAGGAGGGAGGGTTCTGTGAGAACACCACAGCCTAAGCCAAGGCAGGGAGGTGAGTCTTAGCTCAAGGGCAGCAGGCAGGCCAGTGCTCACAGACATTCTCTCTCCAGCAGGGGATTTCAGTCACCGTGTCTAGAATGTGCGGAAGGAAAGAAGCCCAATTTGGTCCCATCCACAGCCCGGAGCTCCCCCATGAGAGGGTGCTCCCGCAGCTCCTCCTATGCTAGCACCCGGTCCTCCAGTCACTCCTCCCGATCCCCAAACCCCAGAGCCTCCCCCAGGTACACCCGGAGCCGATCCACCTCCTCTGAAAAAAGGTGAGTGCAGATTCGACCTCTCTGTAGCACCTTCCTCCTTAGGGAGTTGGTTCAGGTAACGGGAGATGTTCTTTCACTCATGGGGGGACAAGGAATCAGACAGACTTGGGTTAGAATACTCATTCTACCCATTACTAGCTGGTGATTTGGGAAAAGTCAGTTGGCCTCTCTGAGCCTTAGTTTCTTCATCTGCAAAATGAAAACGATAACATAACAATTCTTGTTCAAAAGGATTATTCTGAGGATTATAAGGCACTTAGAATAGTACTTGGAATATAATGAATATTAGTTATTATTGCTGCTCCTGGCATGAGTTCATGTGTATCTATTAACTTCTGCTGCATAAAAATTATCCCCATACTCAGTACCTTTAAAACAACAAGGGCTTACTTAGTTCTTGATTCTGTGGATCAACTACTGGGTTGGGTTCAGCTGGGTGGTTCTTCTGATCTACTGGGCTCATTCATGTGCCTTTGATCAGCTGGTGAGTTGGGTGGAGACTGACTAGATTGAATGGCCCTAGCTGGTTCATCTCTGCTCCATGTGGCTTCTCATCCTCCAGCAAGCCTGTTCATATGGTAATGACAGGGTTGAGAGAGAGAGAGAGAGAACACACACGTGCTATGGTGTGCAAGTCTTCTTGAATCCTAGGCTTGGAACCCTGACATGACATTCCTTTGGCTATTAGCCATAGCAAGACACAGGACCATTACAGATTCAAAGATTCAAGATTCCTCCTAGGGGGAGGAGCTGCAAAGTCACATTGAAATAAATGTGAACACAGGGGGAAAAAAAAAGAACTGTGGGCATTTTTGCATCCTATCATCCAATTTCAATAACCATTGGCAATTGCTTGATTTATTTCTCATGTGAAATAATGATATCATAGAATGTATAGATAAGATTTCAGGAACTGGAAGATTCTATCCAAAATAATCAACCCAGCCGGGCTCGGTGGCTCAGCCTGTAATCCCGTGCCTTTGGGAGGCTGAGGTGAGTGGATTGCCTGAGCCCACGTGTTCGAGACCCGCCTGGGCAACTTGGCGAGACCTCATCTCTACAGTAAATCAAAAATTAGCCGGGCATGGTAGTGCACGCCTGTAGTTCCAGCTACTTGGAAGGCTGAGGTGGAAGGATCACCGGAGCCCAGCAGGTCGAGGCTGCAGTGGTCGGCAGCGGCCACTGCACTCCAGTCTGGGCAACAGAGTGAGACTCCAACTCAAAAAAAAAAATTATCAACCCATGGCTCCATGGACTCCAGCTTCTCTCTGCAAAAAAGAAATTCCCAATAGCAGTCTGATTATTCCTCTTTTGCAACTATATAATTAAAAAACAGTTGTTCACTTGGTTATTTCAAGACCAGGCCATTAAAAAAGGGAAAGCAAGGCAGCTGACAAAAATATTCAACATGATAGGATGACATAAATAAAAGAGCAAATCAGGCAAAAAGGAAAATTAAGGAAATATATAATTAAGTCACGAGAAAGATTTAGTCCCAAAAGGTATGTCCTACCATTCTGTATATTTGCTGTGAAGGTGGGTTGCAAATGTGACCTCTGAGTTCCCCACAAGACAAAGGAAAGAGGGAAATTACTCCATTCGTTGTTACATTATTAACAAAAAAGATAAGAATTGAACCAGTTGCTTGGAAGAGCAGCTCTTTCTGATTTTTAAGTCTGTGAAAGATGAAACATACATGGCTCCACAGAAAAAGAAAAAGGGCACTATATGGTGTGGATGAAAATGTCCAACGATATTCTTTGCAAGTGTCCAAAAGCATGTTTCATCTTGACTCTTTCTTACAGGATCTCTCAATGCACAGCCACAGAGCTAGTTGGCAAAGGCAGATTTTCCAGGGGACATAGCCAAACACTGCCCTGGGGCACTGAGACAAGAACCTATTCTTTCCCCACAATGATCTCTAAAATGGGGGGAGGGAGGCGAGGGTTGAGAGAAGGGGTTATCAGAGGAGGAAGAAGACTAGAAGTAGCATACAGATTAATAATTGGGATGCACAGCAGTATAGTCTACAAAAGACAAGAGCACTTTGAAACCAAACAGATGTGAATTCAAGTTGCTTTAAAAGCAAACAGACCTGAGTTCATATCCTCTAATAGATGTGAGACCTTGAGCAAATTGCATCACTTCTCTGTGCCTCTGTTTCCTCCTCTATAAAGTGTGATTACTAATAGTACCTAATGCTAGGATGTGCTGGGGATTAAATGAGATAATGCACAAAAAACATTAGTTCGATGTCTGGCACGTCATAAAATACATGAGTCAAAGCTGACATTTCCCCGGGTGCTAGCAAATTGGCTAGTTAAATAACTCCCAGAAGTATCATGAGGATGGGATCTAAGGGGCAAAAAGGCATAAATGTCCTCTGTAGACTTAAATGCAGAACGCGCGGTGTGACACTGTTGGTGATCTATGCCAGTACACTAAGTGATTTACCCTAATGTACTCATTTAATTAACAACCGTATAGGGTAAATACCAGTATTACCCTCATTTTACACATAAGAAACCTGAGGCCCAGAGAAGCGAAATCACCTACCTAAGGTCACACAGCTAGTAAGTGGCCAAGATAGTAAGCACTCAGTAAGAGGAAGCTGGAGGTATTATTGTTAATGTCCCAAAGAGGGGGATTTCATTCTCTAGTAAGGGCCCGATTCCTCAGGCCGGCCTTCAGAAAGAAAACGAGGCCGCCTGGGGACCGGCTGCATAAAGCGCTAGACCGCTCGGGCGACCCAGGCAGAGGCTCGGCAGGCTCCTCAGGGGCTGTTCCCTCTCCCCCAGGTCCTTCTCCCGCTCTCCCAGCTATTCCTCCAAGTCTGGCAAGAGAAGTCCGCCCAGTAGAAGCTCTCGGTCCCGCCGCAGCCCCAGCTACTCCCGCTACAGCCCCAGCAGGTACCGGCCGCGCCCGCAGGCCCCGGCCCCGCCCCCAGGCTAGGCCCCGCCCTCAGGCCCCACCCCTTTCCTTTGCTCCGCTCGCCCTCTCGAGCCCCGCCTCTCCGTCCCCTCTCCGACCTGTTCCTCGTAGGTCTACTCCGGCCTCAGCTTTCTTGCAGTTCCCTTTGTCCAATCAGGAGTGGCAGCTAGCAGCCAAATACACCATTATGTCCTAAAGTTCAGTACAAACACTCAGCCAGACCCCAGAATTCATACACCCAGCCTAGAGCCTCTTCACCCGTCTAATACCACGCATCCCCATATTCAGAGCCCCCAATTCTTACCCAGGTGCCAGGGCCCCCGGGACGTTCATATCCTCACCCCTGCAGCAGCAGCACTGCCGGGGTGCCCACCCGCAAAGGCTGACCCCCTCC